CTCTTAGACGTGGGAGGCCGCCCCTTATGAGCGATCGCGAGTTCGCCGATGTATCATGTCGTGACAGAGGTTGACCATGAGGCTTGGTATTACGGTGGTCGATCGTGCCCGATGTTGCGTCAAAAAGCGAAATTTTTCCGGGCGAGAGCGCCAACAGAAGACAGTACGGCTAGAGAAAGACATTATCCTAGAACTGCACTGATATCGTCTTTTTGAGCTTCGCAATGACACGCAAGTAGGTTTGCATATCAAATTAAAGATGCTTGGGATCCATTCCTGAACAGATAAGGCATTCTTCTGGATGACCCTTTTAAAATGTCTAAAAATGATAAATCCTACTAGCCGTTTAGCTGTAAAAAATATCAGACGCTTCAGATACTATTTTTTCTCCAAAACAAGCTAAAGGCTAGTCTGAGCAACAAGAAGTTTAATTGTTATTGCTGCCCGTACACCACAACCTCAGGTTGTGTAATTGAACATACATGGTGTCTGTAAACAAGTTGACGGCAAGTCGCATGTGAGCTTCGATAGCAATGAGGAGGTATACAAAGAGGTTGACGCAGAGGTTAGGACATTTTAACGACGTCTGCCAACGCGCTTTCGAAATCGCTAATCGAAATTGAATGCTGTTTCAATCAGCAAGTTCAGGCAACTCGCAGTGCGTTCAAGCAGGCTACAAGAATCCGAGCACGAATAACTGGAGGTGGTCACACGGCTACCTTGGTGGAAAAGATAATTTCTAGCTAAATCCATGGTCAGTATCATACTAGTAAGGGAGACAAAGCGATCATGATCTCATAGCCAGTTGGGGAAGGACTCTGGTAAGGAAAACGTGCATTGATTCCGTGAGACTTTATCCCAGAATGAGGGAGTATTGTCCTTTTTTTGATGCGTGTCCAGTTGGCTATGGATGACTGTGACGTCATGAACCACTAAGATAATGTTCTGAGGATGTGGGGTCTTGGTAATTTTGCTGTATGAGATGAAGTTGCAGCGCATCCCCCTAGAGTCAAGCAGGGATCAATTGATGACATTGAACTCTCCTTAGCTCATGACAAGCAGTGTTCCGGGAATACGTTCATGCTTGATGCGGCCGATTGGTTGAGTCAGTATGTCGGCAAGCAATTAGGATGTCGAGCAGTATTGTATCTGGACACGCTAGGCGTGCACATTGTTGCGAACAAAGTAAAATTGACTATTGATGTGCTTGAGACAGGGTTGTTAGATGCTTTTCTCCATGGTTCTTGATTGCGGCTTGATGTCAACAATAAGCGATAGCGGTTTTTGTCTTGCGTAGGTTTAATTCCCGATAGAAGATCCTTCACCCAAAGACACTCAATTATTCGTGTTGCCCCGGCAAAACTTTTCTGCCATTGTCGGTAACAATATGGCGGAATGTATTGATGAGTCCCGCGATATGATTATGCCGTTCATTGTTAAAAATACACCGGTCGTATACTTCGCGTCAGGTTTGGAGTCGGCCCATGAGGCTTGGTTGTGGTCGAAATGAGTTTAAAACCTTGATGAAAATACCTTCAGTCGAGGTATCGCTGAGGTAAAGCATAAGAAGCTAGACACAAGTACATTGCTTGATAGTAGGCGCTTGTGTCGCTCAACGCAGTAGATTCAAGGTCGTAGTGATATCAGGACAGGTTCAGCTATAGATAAATAGCAGTAGTCGCATAACTCATTGACACACTCGTTTATTCAAAAGAAACAATCTTAAATAGTAATCCTACAGCTTGTACTTCTCGTCCACTGGTGTCGAAAGAGTTGTCCAATGTCCCATCTCGACCTTCACAAAAAGGCATCGGCATTTTAGCGAGTCATCCCGTTACATGATATCGTGCCAAATGGTGTCAATAGGGAGATTGCCTAGCATGACATTTCCCTACCAGTATTATCCGAGATATATAATTTTGAGGGAACACTATCCCCTTTGTGGGATAATATTCATGTACTGCTCGAAGATTGGTTGATTAAAGACCGATCAGCCAAGATTACCACAAATCGCTGCTAGACGCGCGTAATGAGTGGTGAGCAGGTTGTCGTCATACAACAATGTTGAATGATATGGTTAGATAAAGACTTAAGCTATATTGATAGCTTAAAAAATACTACATACTGTTCTCTTGTTACCTTTACTCAAACTAGCAGTTCGAGTAGATCAGTTTTCCCTGCACGTACGAGTGTACGTGAGGTTTTGTGGCACCCAGTCAAAGGGTGCCCCGTTACACCTAGTAGCACTTCGTAGTCCGTCCAACGAATACTTAGTGTCCGTTCAACATGAGCATGTTAGACGTAGAAGAAGGCAGTTTTTACGTCACACGGGAAGGCATATCCCATCTAAGTGACTCTAAATGGGAGACAGTCAGCCGCATGAGTGTGCTCACGGGCGAACCCGCCATCAGTGCCATGTTGGAGTTTCTATACCGATAAAAACAACATGCCGCTATAACAAGTTCCCACAAGAGGAACTTGCTGTTAAAAGACAGAAAAACCCTTGCTAAAACAGCAAGAATCTCATCAGTCGATGGCGGGCCGATGCACGCGCGTAGACCCGAAACCTTGAAGATTGATATCTCAAGGTACAAGGGAACCGATGAAGATTTTCTTTTGAGATGGTTCGTCGAGTTAGCCGACGCCATAAAGGCCCGTCACATCGAGGGTGATGAGATGCAAGTCACCTTCGCCCTGTCAAATTTACAGGACGAGCAAAGACTTGGGGCCTTAGGGCTCAAGCTTCACGACCCAAACGTGTTTGAGTCGTTGGGAATCTTAAAGTCTCGGCCCAAAGAAACGTTTGAGCCGTCAAGAGACAAGTTCAGAGCACGGTATGCACTCCTGAGGCTCAAGCAATGTAAGCGTGACGTGAACGCTGATGCATAACATTTATGCTACCTTGCGAGTAGCTTCACGGAATATCCTATTGCTAAGCACACGCTCATCAACGTGTTCATCTACGGCCTTGTGGATGGGCCGGTGAAGACCTACATGTTCCGAGAGGACTAACAACTCTGGAAAGGGCGATAGCGTATGCGGAACAAGAAGACTTCAGCCTGAGAAATAATCAGGCTAACTCGTCAAACTATCGTCCGACGAGGCGACAGGAAACAGGAGGTCCCGAACCTATGGACCTCTGTTACATCGAGAGCGAGAACTCTCGCTCTCTGAGTCACAAGCGAACGGCAAGATGCCATCACTGTCAGAAGATCGGACAATATTCTTATGAGTGTAGTGTCCCAAGCACCGCAACACGTCCTAAGACAGGACGTGATGACCGCCGTTGGCCAAAGAAAGGTACAAGGCGCGGGTCCAATCATTCGCTAAACCGCGACAGCAAGTTGGACCGTCAAAAAACGGACAGGGTCAGTAGAGGCGGAGCACCCTGCTGATCCAGCAACGTCAAGAGAATTTGCTGGACTCTTGACGAAGATTTCTCCCAACACGCAGTCTCTGTGTGTTACTGCCCCTAGTGATGAGGAGTCCCTCATCACTTTGAAAATCGAAGTGACAAGCGGAATGTCACTTCGCGCCCTAGTTGACTGTGGGGCGTCGAACAGTTTTATTCGACGCCAGTCGCTTGAGGATAGTAGGCTCAACTATGTTGAGCGAGATATCCCTCAAACGAGGATGACGGTGTGCCTTGCTACAGGCGTATCCGTAACAGTGAACAAACATGTGGTGGGAATCCACTATACGCTAGAAGGAAAGCAGTATGATGAAAACTTCATAGTACTGATTTTGAATGACAAATTTGATGTCATCCTCGGTCTGCTACGGTTCCGAAGATACGAGCGATGGATCAGCTGGCAGCATCGATCCGTGAAGATGCCTACCGTTTGTTCATCAGATGGACATCTGATAAACGTCTTGGAGCGTCCACAAGCGTGCAGATGTACTACGATTGAGTGCGATGGCCTCACTTATGGTGCGGTCGTTAGTACGATTGCACAAGATCACAGTGTAGAAGGCCACTACACTGTGGAACCATCTTCCGGCACCTGTGTTGAGACACAGGCTGCGCCGAAGGTTCACCACTCGAAGAGATCGAGTGGGCCGGAACACGGATGCACACCAAGAAGGGTGCATCCAAGAAGAGAGATCAGTGTTGTCGAGGATGAACAACACGTTGAAGCGAGATCGACTATCTGAGAGTCGATCGTAGAGCAAGCCCGATCGACTGAAAGAGAGTCGATCGAAGAGGACGTTACTGTAGCAGTACACCCACAGTAATGACACGTATTGGAAGAAAAATCCAGCGTTCCCGAGAGTGATAACTCCCGAGAGAGTTATGATAAAGGTGTGGATCCCTAACCACCTGCGGATGTGTTTTTCCAGGAAAGCACCAAGAAGTGAATTTCTTGGTGAATGACGGATCAAGTGTAGGCGCTTAATTACTTGATCTAATTACGCCTCCGAATCTGGCTTCGGAGGTAGTCAAGTTGCCAACGATAGAATCTAAAAGATTATTGCGATATATGCGTAGTGACAAGATCAAGCAGATCTGCGTACTCGTCACAGAGAACGAGCACGTCGCCGATATTCGGTCGACACAAGTGTTTACTGAGAACGAACGGGTTCTCAGTAGCTCATCGATGGACGAGAGTGTCCTCGATGAGAAGACCCAGATCGAGCGATACACGTCTCAATCTTGGGAGTCTTTAAAGACAAATTCTTTGTATAAGGAATTGGTGGAATTCAGGGATGTTTTTCCGGAATCCGTGCCATGCGATTGCCTAAGGACAAAGTAACTCGACATGAAATCGAAATGAAACCCGGTTCGAAGTACTGTATCATACAGCAAAGGCCACCGTCTTGTGAATAGTTCACAGTGATCATCAAATTCTTTGCCACGTAAGCTTATCTACTGGTCTTGTGAGGGAATTGACATCCCCACACAGCTTTCCGACCTTCTGTGTGCGAAAAGCCACAGGCGAGTGGCGGATAAGCCCGCGTTTATCAGGTTAAACGCTGCAACGGTATTGGAGTCTGAGCCGATGCCGAGGAAGGACGTCATCGTTAATGGTATGGCAAAAAGTATCATCTTTTTGTCCAGGGATCTGATGGATGGATTCTATCAGATCCTCATGCGTGAGCGGGACATCCCTTTCACGGCAGTGAGCACCCTCAGTGGTATGCTATGGGAGTGGCTAGTGATGAATCGTGGACTAAGTAACGCCCCTACAACGTTCAAAAGATGTGTAAACAAACTGCTGCGATCGGTGCGCAACTTTGCTCCGAGTAACTTTGCCGATGGCTTCGACCATAGCCGGGCTATCGATGGAAAGACGGACGTAGAGGCTTATAGAATACACGTCCGGAAAGGTCTTAATCTAATGCAAGAGCATAAGCTGTTCGCGAACCTCAAGAAGTGTATATTTACAGTGAACGAAATACCACTTCTAGGTTGCAATGTAGGCAAAAAAGGCGTGCCCCCTGATCCGGAAAAGATCAAGGTGATTAGCGACTGGCCTGTGCCAGTCGACGTCAAGGGACTTCGAAAGCTCCTTGGCTTGGCGGCGTCCTTGCACAAGTACTCGCGCAACTACGCCAAGATGACCGTACATTCTCTCTCGTCTACTAAAGAAAAACGAGAGGTGGTCATGGAGTGCTGAGTGTCAGCACTCCTTTGAAGGTATCAAGAAAAGCTTGATACAATCGCCTGTTTTGGCAATTGCCATCCAAGACAGATTATTCCAAGTGGGTTGTGACGCCAGCGATTTTGCCACAGGCTGCGCGTAAATGCAGTATGACTCAGACGGCGTTGAGCGCGTCGTCTGTAATCAATCACGTCATCTGCAAGCAGCTGATTGTTACTAATCAATGCATAACAAGGAACTCCTTGCCATGAAATGTGCACTGGCCAAGTTTCGGGTATATCTCTTAGGAGGTAGACCCTTCATCGTTTATACCTACCATGCGTCGTTACGCATGGCTGTAAACAGTCCACACCTCTCGCAAAGAATGGCGAGGTGGCTGTCATTCTTCGCGGAGTACAACTTCTCCGTCGAGTGTAAACCAGGACGACTTAATGTCGTCGCTGATGCTCTTTCGCGTCGGCCCGATTTAGAGCCGACCGCTCAACCCAACAGTAGGGATGATCCCACTGTAGCGACACTAACAGTGAGTGTTCCGTCGTCGAATCTGCTCGACGACGTGCGAAAAGTATACACAGAAGATGAGTCCCTTCTGCGGCTGATGGATTACGTATCCAATCCTTGTAATCAAGCTTTGAAAAACTTGTCGTCTCAATACCGCTCTTCAACCGAACGGTATCCTGTTCGTGACGGCCTGCTGTACTATACAGCAGGCAACGGCGACACATCTCGTGTCGTCGTTCAGGCTCATAATGATTTGCGATTGCGCATCATGTATGAGTGTCACGATGTCCCAACAAGCGAGCATCGCGGTAGAGACAATACTTACCTCACGGTAAGTCGTGACTCCTACTGACCCCGCCAGTATGATTTTGTGCGGAAATACATTCGCACGTGCGAAGTTTGTCAACAGGTGAAGCCTAGTCCTTCATCCCGCGCACCCTTGCAGCCTCCTTCGATTCCGGCAGAGTGTTGGCAGTCCTTATCGATGGACTTCGTCTTCGGGTTTCCTAAAGACGTTAATAAGAATACGGGTATTCTTGTGTTTGTTGATCGTTTCAGCAAGATGGTGCATCTTGTTGCTGTACCGGAGTCAATCACAGCCCAGGACTGTGCTCGTGTCTTCATCGATACTATATCCCAACTTCACGGGTTACCCCGTGAACTCGTGTCTGATAGGGACCCCCGCTTTACGGCGGAGTTCTGGCAATCCGTGTTCCGTTCATTTGGAACACGTTTGGAGGATGTCGACTTCTGACCATCCAGAAACAGATGGTCAGACGGAACGCGTCCACCGCGTCCTCGAAGAGATACTTCGAGGGTACGTCCACTAGTTTACGAATTGGATTGAGTTCTTGCCGATGGCGGAAATCGCCATCAACAACTCGGTGCAAGCGTCGATAACGCGCATACCGTTCTTCGTGAATGGACTACGCCAGCCACGTTTAATGGCCTTCTTAGAGTATGACTCTAGGTTACGGGGGGGGAGGACTAGCTCGAACAAAATCCGTTCCAATCCTTGATCATCACACGTCGACAACGATTTCGACGTGATGGATGCCGATGTCGATGCGATCGATATGGATGATGATGATGACGACGATGCTTGTATATTTAGAATCGCCAATGACTACCACAGTGAGGACGATGACCCCCCCCACTGGTAAAGAAAACTTTCTTTCATCAGCGCACAAGAAGCGCACTGTTGTAAACAAGGATGAATCAGCAGAAAAATTTCTGCTGACTCGCGAAGCACTTGTCTGCTTCGCTCACGTTTTATTGCAAATACAGTGGAAAAGCAGATAAGAAATGCCGGCATACATGGAAAGATTAGTGTTCTTTCATTTAATGAAGGAGACTTAGTTTTACTGCCTACAGTAAATCTAACAAAACTCGTAGTGACAAACGTGGGCAGCAGTAAATTACTGCCCAATCAGATCAATCCATTTCGTGTGTTGCGCCGCATGGGCAACGCATACATGATTGGACTGCCCGTAAGATGCGTACGCATCCTACGTTTTACGTTGGACGTCTCCACCCGTACTATCAGTACGAGCCCGTTTCAAAAGGCGAAGAACACATTCGCGTTCAAGTTCCGAGACCACTTTCGAGTGGTCTCGTTTCAATGAGCCATTCTGGTCGACTAGTGACGTGACCTGCTCACGCAGTTGAGCGATGTTCTGACAAGCTGCAGTCAGCTCGTCATGAAGAGGATGAATGAAACATTCGTTCTCAAGTTGTGAGAAGGCACACGCGGCACGATCGTTCGAACGATCGTGCGTAAAGGAATTGTAATTATCCCTTACAATATCATGAAGCCCATAAAGCCGAGTCCGTTAATGAGCCAGGTCATCTTGTTACTGATCGGTCACACGATTCAATTCCTGAACATAAGCTGATCCGACCCTCAAGCCGGAACAAGTTTTTTTGCCACCACATTCTTCGGTGGATTCTGGCGGTGGTCAAAGCTTTCTGGCGGAGATGATTTTGAACCACGGCGACGTGAATGGACTCCGGATGAGTTACCTCGTACGCTGACGTGGCTATCCACCGTCCAGGTACAGCTGGGAGCCTCGTGCCAGATGATTGTTGATGTTCCGGGTCCTTTCGAGCAAAATGACGAGACCTACCCGCTGCGTTCGAAGAAGGGCCGTCGGAAAACGACCTCCCCGAACGCGAGTACAGGAATTGCAAATTGTCATTCCCCTCGGCCATCTCAGCAGAGACGCGCGCCCTCCTGTAAGGAAAATGATGGAGGAAGGCCTCCCTAGGGGCACAATTCGCATTGAACAGGCACCCTGGACACGAATCACCCCACTAGAGACAGGGTAGTCCTGTCTCTCTTGACAGCTGGTGCAACTTGTATCGTACAACGGCTTAATTACGTTTTTCAAACCTGATACAAGGTACGCCAAGTTTATCGAACTAGCTCTCACGGCCTATGCACCTAATGTTGTGGATGAAGGCATTCCATCCTTGCAACAAGGACTTGTCTTCGTGGCCACGATTGCCATTGCACCACCGATGTTTATAAAAAAAACACAATGGTTACGTACTATTCCTCAGCACGAATAGTTTACGTGCTTAATTAGAAGGACAGGTCCTCATAGAGTCGAACTACGGGATTCGATCTTGTTTGGTGGTCATGCCGGCCATTCGGTTTAACTCCTTGGATGATGGTATCCAAGGAGACTTAACTTGAGGAGACTGGTGCAGAACATTGCGGTCTCTGTCCTCTTTCGTGGTGTAGGACATGTCTTCGTGGCCACGATTGCCATTGCACCACCGATGTTTAAAGAACACAATGGAAAAGTAATATTCCTCAGCACGAATAGTTTACGTGCTTAAATTAGGAGGACAGATCCTCATACAGTCGAACTACGGGATTCGATCTTGTTTGGTGGTCATGCTGGCCATTCGGTTTAACTCCTTGGATGATGGTAGTTAAGGAGACTTAATTTGAGGAGACTGGTGCAGAACATTGCGGTCTCTGGCCCCTTTCGTGGTGTCAGCATAAGCACTGACATCAGTAGCAGCTCGATCTATCGAGTTACTTCTCTCGCGGTGATGCATAGGTGCGTCACCACCATCAACACACGTCCTAGTGTTCGACGGACTTGCGTAAGACGAGGATTTGTCAGACGAATCTCTCGGTCCAAAGATCTCTGTCGCAATTGCATTTTGTTCTCCAGAGCCAGTCAACCCGGCTCTGGCAGTGTCCGGGCCGGGGGATTCCGGAGGTGTGAGGCGCCGCCTTCGAGTCAGATGCATCACCTGACTCGTCAAAATAGATGAGATCTATTCCAGGCTCATTTACATTGCGAGTCACAACAGGCACTTCCTATTGCTCACTTGCAACAGCAGGCAAATAATTACCTGATGCTGAGGCTTTAAAAGTACTCTCTTCGGCTGCACGCATGCGTGCAACCGCCTTCTTGGCTGCTTCGGCATCGCACCGCATAAATTTTACAACTATGAGATGGATTGGCAAATGAGTAAGGATTGACCAACAAGTAATTTATTTTTCCGGAGTGACTCAACGGTGATCACTTTGTCCCCAATCAATTTATTTTAATCAACGGGGGTGATTGATAGTTAAGGGGAGGGTGTGATGTAACGAGGTACCCCGGACGTAATCTTGAAACCAAAGGTGCCAATAGGAAAATTGTCTAGCGTGACAATCTCCTGCTAATATTACCCGAAATAGTTATAATAGAAGGAATTTTATTCCTTAAGGTCATGTACTGCTCGAAAATCGGTTAATAAAAGACATATCAACCAAGATTAACACCAATCGCTGCTAGACGCGCGCAACGCGTGGTGAGCAGGTTTTCGTCATGCGACAATGTAGATAAATGTAGTTGGATGAAGACTGAAATATATTGATAGCTTAACTACATTAAATACAGTTCTCTTTTTCCTTTACTCAAACTAGCAGTTTGAGTAGATTAGCTTCCTCTGCACGTACGAGTGTACGTAAAGTTTCGTTGTACCCTAAACAAAGGGCCCCCCGTTCTAAGCACTACGTACATAAGTTGCTGTGAAACTATTTCGAAACTTTTAAGGAAATGCGTGGATTTAATAACAGTTAAATCCAGTAGTAAGTGTCGTGTATCGAATATTGACCTCTAGCCTTCAAGATTGCATTCTGCCAACTTTTACATGAAGACTCCATGGTCAATTTTGCCTTTAATCTTGGTGCGTGATACACGAATGACGTCTACTAGCATCAAGCCGACGTAATTACATGCCTTCGATGACGTGTTTTCCACTCTAATAAGCTGAGTCCAGGTTTTAGACGGACGTACATGTTTTACCGGACGTAATTCTATACATAATTTCATCATGCGCCGTAACCTTCATTATCTCTTATACAAGAGCTCGTACTATAAAATCAGACATGATTATCGATCAAGCCTACCCAGCATCTGCATAGCTTAATACGGCTCCGCAATACTTGATTATGGATACAAAGGAAAAACACTAGAGGTTATGGACTGTCTGCGGCAAGCTCAGAAGGAAAAATTGCTTTTAAGTTTAAATCATGACTTAGGTGAAGGGGGACAAACATCAGTGCGCATAACGAGTTATGGTGGCGCAACATCAGTCACGGCGGTATTCAGTGTGGCATGGATGTGGTGTATGGGTTTATCAAGTAAAAAGTGGGGTGCATGATACATAACCATAATATAAGGTACATCAGCTAAGATGTTGATCCATGTATTTGTTTTACCTGTGTTTAAATGCCACATTCTCTTCTGTGGCTCCTTCGTTTCTTTCTTTCTCTCTCCTGCACTGGTTTCAGAGTCTATCGATCTTTGATCTCTTCCTGAGTACTCGTATCCTTTGTGAAAAAAGTAAAATATATCATAAACGGAGATACAGCCGAAGCATTAATTGTGTCCTACACGGGAACATTACACCATAAAGGACCAGGATGGCTACGTATTAGCGACTTAATAAAACATCCTAACCGGTTTTATTAAAAATGGATGCGACAGCATGTGTTGGCGGGATCGGATTCTCCGGGGATCTTTTCTACTGTTTTCGGGGAGAAATTAACTTGTGGGTGGAGGCGGAGTGGGTAGTGCTGATGGATTTTTCACTTGTTTACCCTTTGATCAGCTAATTTTATGAGGAAGCGGATTAGGAGCCGTCCTTATCGCCAACGAGACTTCACTAGATACATAAACAAGTACATGGATTTAAAGGTCTCCAATAGTCATATTATTTTTTGAATCAGCCAAAATGACATTTGTATTCTCACCCCACCTTCTACAGCGTACCTCTGATCTTCTTTTAAAAATAACAAATCTTCGATCAGCTCGAAGAAGTTATGTTTTATTCTATGGAAGAAGCCCTTCACGCACCTGATGATCCGACACTACCAGCAGGAATTATTTTAGCCATCAATCGGTAATAAAGGTGGAAAACGAAAGCGTGGAGAAATTAAAGCAGTAACTTGCAATCATATTGCAATTGGGGGTATCCCCCTGGTGCCGTAGGTAGGCACCGCCGTCCCAATCACTTGGTTGTCGTTTCGATCCCCCGTGCGACAAATTCGAGGTGATGAAAAGTATGTGACACGAAAGTTTCAGTTGTACCACCCGGGAAACCTGGCATATCTGAGTTCGGCCTCTTGTAGAAGCATACGACATTGACTTTAGTCGGGAATACTCGACTGGCTATCCCGCGAGGAATCCAATCAGTAGTGACCATCCGGTAGAAAATGTGCAGCCCCCCCCCCCCGAAGAGGGCAGACGTCGTTCGTGAAAAAACTTTATGTGCACACTGTACCTAAAAAAAAGTCAAAATTATTAATGCAACGGCCTTCACTTATTTTAGAAAAAATTAATTAGATCTCGTACCTCATCGTCAGCGCATGATCTTTAAGCCGTGCTACTCGCTGATCCTTCTATCCTACGCGACGTCGAAAATGTGGACGATGTGGACAGTAAGGGCACAGCACGAGGTCATGTTGCCAAGTAGTACTAGTACAATTAGCACATGCAGCACCTTCAGAAGTGGAACTGATTGACGATACCACACCGTTCGATCCTGTACTTGATGCTGGCAATATTCTGTTGACATTGGGCTGTTGATGTAAAAGTCGGTATCGTCGACAATATGCAAGTAGATTTTTGTTAGATGCCAGCACCACGTAATACTAACTTTCATCGACCACACATTGAAATCTATTCGAATGGATCTCCTGCAACCTCTCGAAGCTGTCCACGATTGACAATATAAGAATATGGGTGTGTTACGGCACTCAAGCGCAACTACAACATGAGCCAGCATTAAGGACGAAACTTCCATCGACCTCAAAATCTGATTCATAAATTAGTCTATGTGGTTTGGCTTGTCAAATCAAAACTGAAGACCCATTACCCGCTTCTCTTTACTATACTTTACGAATTGTACCACTACAATCCGACAACTAATAATTTTTGTTAAGCGATAGAAATATATTTCACTGGGACTAAAAGTTAGCAGAAGGAGGACTGCATTCTTTCAGCCACATTTGCTTGCACAAAAGGAACGAAGAATGCATTTCGCCCAAGGAGATCACCATGAATCTCTGTTCAAAGTAGTGTGGTCATGTGAGAAGCAAAAAAATGAGCACCTCCGGACATTTAACGGAGATACAACATCTAGCACCGTTGACCTCATCAATTGTTTTTAGCGACTGAATCGAGCATCGGTCCTCACCAACAAGATCAAAAGCAGTAATTTATACTCGTTGTAGCATGGCATCTATACCGATATACAGAATGTTACCTGACGCTGCTAAAAGAATCGAAAAAAGTAACGACTTCAATACGGCATTGTCAATCCTTTGTAATGCTACAACAATTAAAATGCATGACTCGTACATTCGTCATTCGCTTCGATCGCGTTTGCGAGTCGTCAGGCATGTTGTGCCGTGTCAATATACGTGCCAAACTACATGTTGAACGACCGATCATACAACGACAACTGCCTTTCGCCTTGTCCGGATATGCTCGACAGCTTGTATCGCAATCGCACGATGGCGTGTCGTCAGAATGCCAGTCCCTGTTGTACGGTCGATTTGACTCGATAGTTTCAATACCGCACCTTTCACTGAACACGGTGGTATACAAGAGCACGCGTACATACAATAAGGAAACAACCGACAAGCGTTGCTTGGAGACGATTTCAAATTACGTCGCAGGTCGGTGTCCCACTTCTTTTCGTCCCTACATTTGTGAGAAGTTACTTGACCAAAACACACGACGCGATGAGCTGTCAATTCGCACGCGAGGCAGCAGTCGTCAATCGTAACTGCCTCACGTTTGTGTATCAAGCCGACTAATTATCCGCTATCCTGACCTAAGACAACGAGAGCCACTGACTCACGAGCAACAAGCTAAAATCCAATCCATGCCTTCCATTGCTGTGTTGATGTACGCGTACCTTAGCGGGCACTTACATCCATATATCTATCGAGCCCTCGCCCCGTTGTTTATTGTCTTGCACAGAGCACACCGGTTGCGCTGCCACTAGATTTGACACGACGCCGTAGCGTATCGTCCTTGTTTTAAGGAGCTGGCTCTAGTCGAAGCTTGTGTGTTTCCCACACGGGCCACAAATCACAAACATGGTCACGACGCGCTCTCGTTCTGACGAATGCTGCAAAATTTGACTTGCGAGGACGACGGAACAATCTGAAAGGATCGTGAAGTGTGCGATCCCGAGGAGTGCGCAAATGATAGGGCCTTCTACCTTTAACAACTCCACGACAACCGGAGCCCATACAATTCAACTTCAACCAGAGCTTATCCCATGTCTACCTTTCGAAGCAGTGCTTCACGCACGTCTTCTTCAAGATCCGCCGCCTGTGACTGCCCGTCCCTTTACGATTGCCGATTTACGGTTCCAAACCAAGTCATTCAAGCAATTGCCACGGGAAGACTTCAGGCATTCTACAATTTGTCTTAAAGAGCTCACTTCTACCTGTGCAACCCCAGAAAATCACACCGGGCCTTCACATGCGTGTACCGTACCTCCCAGCTGTGGCGGCGCTCTGTCTGCTGGCTAGTAACGATGCCTTCGTAGCAGCGTCCGAATCTGGAAAAAAGTTGAAGTCTACCCTAACTTCACCGGTCCTGTCGAGACGCCTACTTGGCGTTGACATCGCCACTCCTGTCAACAATCTGCGAACTGGGGAACCAACAGGCTTGACTTCCAACGATCCGCAGGCCACTGAGTCTGAAGACAGTAGTGAGCACGACAAGGACGACAGCAGTGAGGCCGGCAAGGCTGACAGCAGTGATGATGATCAGAAGTCCGGAAAAGCTTGTATTTGATTTCGGAACAGGGTGGGTGGATGGACGTGAGAGTCTTCAGGGAGCACACTATGCACTCAATCCTCGAGGGTCATGATCAGCATCCACAATGATCCCCTCGGTCATAATTTGGCAAAGGGAAGCGTTTGTCGGGAGGAAGTACCTACTAGATGTATGCACCGTTATTTTTCCTTAGTGTTTTTCGGTTTTTTGTTTTGCAATGCTTGTGTGTGTGCCTATCATCCTAGCGGGTCATCGAGGATTTACAATTGCTGGAGTTATGTGGTAGAGTTCCAGCGGGTCAGGTGGCTCTGCGCCTAAACAGAATGTCGCTCTATCTGGTCGATCGTGCTGCCTTAAAATGTACTACAATGACATTTAGTAGCTGAAGGAAAATGCGTCCATCTCTCGGGCAGCTTAACTGACTAGCGTTATATGTAGACCTCAGACTTAATGTGTCAATTCAATTCAAACGTTTGCTTTGCCATATGCCGTGCATTCTACTAGTATTGCACCGTGCGACGAGTCCAGAACATGCAGATAGTATGGACGTCCGGTATGAAAAACATTACCATAATTATAATGCAATACTTCGCACACGTAGAAGACTACAAAAAAAGCTATAGACTTACGTTCGCTTGAATCAGAGCAAGATCACTAGAGTCTTCTGGGTTTGCAGCGCTCCCTTGCGTCACAATTCGTAGCGTCCACGAAAAATGCGTCTTCAGCAATTGCACACATCAACCAGCATCCACCATCAGAGTAACTCCAAAGCTACACTCCTCTCCGCGCGTATGTACCTACGGACGCCACTACACGTGAAGTATGCGTACTTGCAATTACACCCGCGTGCATCACGAAGCGTATACGCCCACTTTGGCTTGGCTCAATCGCTGCTCTTTTCAGCAGTCCTTGTATTTTTCGTCACTTTGGCTTCTAGTTTTAGCGATCTAGCTCCAACATCTTGCGCACTTGCTTCCCAATAGCCGCCAACAAATTGACAATCTGTCCATCAAGCTAAGGATAAACATGAAGTGGAGTGCAAAATGGCAATGACGCGCATCGTTTGCGGCAACCCCGAGTTATGATGGTGCCTGCATGCATGCCGATACATTTCTAGAAGAAACTCAAAGCTGGTGTACTTATGCATCATTGAATAGAACGACTGAACAACGTAAAAAGTTTATCGACAAAGCAGATAGTGAAATGGTATCAATGGTGATCGTTGACTCGTTTACTCGTTTACTGCAATTCAGATACCTTTCCATGACGGCAACGGCATCACATCGCGTGCACGTCACCCACCCGCGAATGTGATGAACAAAAGATGGATGTTCATGTACCAGCAAACTCTATGTTCTATGCGATTGCCAACAAAATTCACGAGTCTGCTTCGGCCGGCATGCGAAGCCTCCACTAATAAAGTGTGTAGCGGGTTACACGTCGGTTGTTCACAATCGGTAATCATTGTGATTGACAATATATAAATGCAGGGTACATTCTTTTTGAAGCCGTAGTGTTTTTAGCGCTGATTGTAGCACATACAAAACTAAATCCAACAAGATAGAAAAGATATATAAATGGCAAGCTCTAAAGGCTTATACTCGAATCAGTACATCCAGTCTTGATACTAAATTAAAACATTAACTCGGTGATATCGGAACGTTCGGATGTTTTTGTGTGTTTTGTGTGCTTCGTGTAATTTTTTTATAAAAATTAACATCATAATTAAATTTTTTGATATTTGAATCATTAGTTGTTGTTTCAATTTGTAATTTTTTTAATTAATATAATAAAGTTTTTTATAAATATTTAATAATTTGTAATAATTAACAATTTATTAATAAATAAGATTGATTAAAATATAAATACTTAAAAAATATCATATGAAATATCATTTTAATGAATTTAAGACTCCTTCAGGTATTTGTAGTATTAAATTGTGTGTTTTTCTTAAACCATTAAATAAAAATTAAATTTATCTTATTTAATAAATAAAAATTTAATTATGTTATTTCCAAAAAACAATTTTTTGCGGTTGTGGATGGTTATGCATTGTCCTGTGTGATAATTACAGTGCTGTCTTACTTGTTCAGTGATGCACCAACTCTTTGATGCTGTATTTTGGTGTTGGACAAAAATCAGGGAGATGATAGGGACAAAATCTGATTTAAACTGTTCAAATCAACAGTTCTGCAACTGACGACTCAAAATGCTTGAGAAGTGGTAATGTACATGATCGGTAGTGAAGAATTGATGTCTCATGTAGAAAAAACATAAAATACACTCAGGCGCTGCGCTATAAACACCGATGTTCGATCTGAACTATCCATTTGTCTAATTTTTAGGTGCCGGGAAATGTTACAAAGACATTCCTCGACTTTACCCTTTTCTTCCTTATTGCTACATCATCTTTATTATGATGCGCCTATCATTCTTTCCTCAGGTGGTGCAACTCAAGATGCTCAGCCTTCGGTTGCTCCAGCGTCGATTTTTATCTACTCATGAAACTGTCAGTCCTTCCGCTGCTTTACTAACGTGGCCTCGACGGCCGATACCACTATTGATGTTGCTTCCACAACTGATTTGCCAGTCTATCATGCAGTTGTGAAAGTTCTTCCCAGTCAAGCCTTTCAGGAGTCAAGAGGAAGCTGTCCGGAGCTCAAGCAGGACACGGAATACCGCAATTTCGCCGTTAGCGCAGACCGACCAAGATCACGAGGGACCAAGTGCATTTTCCTCTGGTGTTTGCAATGAAATCGATACCGGGATCTGGCGGTCAGCTTATGCCTTTAAAAATAGGAACCGAATGGCTCAAATGTTCTTGTAAGCTCGCGGTCACCTTCAATAAGATGCGGTGGAAGCTGACCTCGGTCGGCGATTCGTTCAACTAAATTCCACACCGGCCACGCCGATGCATCGACACTTTTATGAGTTTGGTACGAACGGCGGTGCAGCGATAGTTGCAAGTCTAGAATAATTCGATGCCGTATTGTTCATATATATCAGTCTTGGATTTTTGCGCGGGTATGTGTGCATGTCTAATTATGTATATTGGAATTTTAAGGTGTTTAAATCGAATTCCTATATTTTGCGCAGGTTGTAATAAGATGCCGCTTCAAGGAGACAAAGGTCATTTTGAAGGTATCTAACATACAAAACATTATCCATTGGGTGAACTTAGAGGCTTGAAGAAGAAATACGTACCAGACGGCTTTGAACGCATGTCAGGGCTACAGTTGCGGTGGAGGCATGTTCACCAGCTATCTTGGTAGCCGGATCTATCCAAGGTCTTTCGATGTCTTTTTTGCGATGTTCTAGTGATTGACTGCTACTACAAGACGTAAGTCGACAACATTCAGTTTTACGTATAGTAGGGTTTTATGTGTACTCACTAAACGTTTTCTGTTGTATTTGAACTAATGGTTACATAAGCGTTTGTTGGCTACGTCTGGATGACAAAAAAGATCGATGGGATTTTTTCCACAGCAAAAATCGAAGACAGTTGAAGTACTGTGAAATCAGACTCATCACGGCCATCGGGAAGAATTGGCCGGACGCTGCCATCTTTAACTGTCGATTTTATATAGCTGTAAATATTATTACCTATTGCCATTAGAAATTAACAATTCTCAGCGAGGAGAGCTGGCTAGATTGTATTTACCACTTGAAGGATATCATACAAGCTCCGACAGAACAGGAATCTATAAATCTCTGGCAGAAGCTCCTTATAATGGCGATTTTTATATATATTTCTATCATGGTGATTTGGCAACATTTATGATAGGACAACAAGACAATTTTATCTATCTAAGGGACAACAATTTTTTCTCTTCGAATTCATTGTGCTTCATTCCATAATAATATTTTTTAACCCGTTGAACATTCTTTAACTTCGTAGGTTTTAGGCGCATATCACAAGATCATAAAATTGCTTAATGGCTCTATCGGTAAACTCCTGTACGTTTACGAACGATTTTATTCAGGCGTCGAGTTGACCCACAAGATCGTCAGTGCAACGATGAAAAGAAAAATCATAAAAATAACATTATACCCAGTTTGTAACAAATTAAAGTTGCATCGCACGATCTTACGCCACGTCCTTGTAATCATAAAGTAAGAGTACGTGCTTGTCCTCGATCTCACAAACAACAAGAAATGTACCAGTTACTTCGAGAGTGTCCATGCAGCTTCATGCGACCACGTCATTTTGCGTCACATTGAATGTTGTTATTCGATTAAAAATGAACCATTCGAAAAGTAATGGCATTTGAACAGCGAAAAATCTATCGATCGAGAAAATTTACAGAATCTTGGGTCCTTCCGCATTCAGAAGACACAACCTCGCGAGGTTGCACTGATTATCGGTTCAGCGTCAACCATCGTATTCCTAGCGCTTGAAGCAGCAAGTGTATATCATGAAATACCGCGGGACCGGTCAAGATCAACGCTAATGTATATTTCGTGTTATTGGCATCCCTGCCGGTGACGTCGAGCTGCCCGACCAGTGTTGATGCGACCAGGGTCCTCCTATCCAGCCTATGTAATATTCGCATGGAGTGTATCCAATTTAAATTGTATCCTCCCGCCATCACATTTCTCGGTGACGCCCTCACCTCAACTTTGAAACCGTAGCAGAGGCAAGTTAATCTACTAAAATAAAAAGTCCGATCTAATTTTGCAAATGGGACATACAAGTGTATTTTCCGCTCACCAACGTGACTAGTTGTTAGCTTAGCTTCAAGATGAACACTAACATAAAAAATCAAAGTAACCCTTCTCGATTGACGTAGACATTAGTCTTTTAACTCCATCCAGTCATCGTCAAGTTCTTCTTCCACAGATCGGTTGTTATGAATGTCCTCAAGCGCCAAATTCTGTTTAAATGCCCTGCTCCGTCACAGTGCTTTGATCCCCTAATAAAATGCAAATAGCCAATAATGCTGCACTTCCTTTCTATACTGGCTGGTATCATGAGGTATCAGATGCCCGTTTTTACCCTATCGTCAATATCAGACTAA